AGATAAAGGTATTGTGTGCACCTACAACTGAAAACTAAATATTTTTTTAAAAACCCAGCATGACGTTGGCATAGAACAGACAGAGGAATAAACAGAGCAAAGACCCAGAAATAAGCCCCTGTGTCTTCAGCCAACTGAGTCTTGACAAAGGGGCCAAAGACGGACATGACAGAAAGGACAGGACGGTCTCTTGAAATGGTGCTGGGAAAATGGATACCCACTTGCAACTTGACCCCTAAATCTTAAACTGTACAAATGCTAACTGGACATGGATTGAAGACCCGGATGTAAGGTCCGAGACGACGAGAAGAAAACAGGGGCCACACTTCCAGACACTGGGACAGGCAATGGCTTTCCAGCTGGAAGCCCAACAGCACCGAAGACAAAAGCAAAATTGACAAATGGAATGAAATCAAATGACAAAGCATCTCACCGCCAAGGAAGCCATCGGCAGGGTGAAGAGACAACATGACAGTGGGCACAGTGTCCACCACTACATGTGACGGAGCTAAAAGCCAGAATAGGTTAAAAAAAAAACAAAACCTTAAGGACAACAACAAAAAACAACAATTTAAAAATAGGCAAATGATCAGAAGAGACACATCTCTAAAGGAAGAAAAGAAATAAAAAAAAGAAGAAGAAATAAAAGAGGCCAACAAATACATAGAAAAATGCTCCTGTTATTAGCTATCAGGGAAATGAAAGCCAAAATCTGCAAGGAGACATCATCTTCCCCCAGTTAGAACAGCTACTAGCAAAAAAGCAAAGCTGTGGGAGGAAAGGAATGCTGATCCGTGGTTAGTGTGGCTGTAGGTTAATGTAGCCTTTGTAGGGAACAGTTCAGAGGATTCTCAAAAGACTAAAAGTAGGTCTGCCATGTGACCTACTTATCCCACTTCTGGGTGTGTACCCAAGGAAATTAAATAGGCATCACAAAGAGATATTTGCATGCCTGTATTTAGGGTATTATTATTCACAAGAACTAAGATTCGAATCAGCCAAGGAACCCATCAACAGATGAATGAATAAAGAAAATGTGGTACATATACACATTGGAGTATTATTCAGCCAGGAATAGGAATGAAATGCTAACCTTGACAGGAAAATGGAACTGGATGATAGTATGTCAAGTGAAATAAGAAAGACGAGTACTATGCGTTCTCTCTCGTATGTGGAAGCTAAAATAACCGTCAACCTGAATGTAGAATAGTACTTACTCGGGATTAGAAAGAGCAGAGAGGAGAACAAAGAGAGCTTGGATTTGATCCATGCACATGCATATATGGAAATATCACAATGGACCAGAAATAGCACAATGGACAGTACAATTAATATCTGTTCGCCCAAAATAAAAGGAAAGAGCTTAATAATAAGAAGAAGTCAGGATCATAGTTACCGCCTAGGTACGAAGTGTGGGGGGATCATCAGACTGCTAGTGATATTCTTTTTCTTGCCTGCAGGGGTGTGAGATGATCAAATTTCATAGAAACTTACATTTGAGTTTTGTGCACTCTTCAGTATGCATATTTTGTTTTAAAATAGTTAAACCTCTACAGAATGGAGTTGCTCATTTGTGTATTTTTAATTTTCCAAAAATCTCCATGGTAGCCTGTCATGAGACACTTCCCCGTAGGTTTACCTTTTTGTTGCATAATCCTGATTATTTGGGGGGAAAAAAATTCTAACTTCCAATGTGTTCTCATTAAAATAAAGGTTTTCACTTACGTTTTGTTAGTCGAGCAACGTTTTCAAAGTACCTAGTGTAACGTCATTCTTGCCAATTTTCTCTTCTTCGATGTTAAACTGCTATAATTCTGATGGCCCTCGTTTATCAACGGCTTTGTATGTGTTCAGAGCGATTTTCTAACATGACCATCAACATCTGGAGAAAAGTCTTGCCTATGGAGCTATGTCTGAATGTCACTTTGCGATAATTTGCAGACCATGTTTTGGATTTTCATGGTCAGCCCAGGGAAGACATGGATCCGCTGGATTTGGAGAGAATGATAAGGTAATAAGGTCATTGGGGAGTGGGGTGTTTGGAGATGGGGGACCAGTGTTCATAAGTGTTTGCTTGAATAATATCCTATCAATATGGCTTTTCTTCCCTGTGTAACCTCTTATCAGAGGGGCTGGGCTGCGCCAATTGGCGAGAAGAACTCTCCAGGCAGAAGGAACAGCCTAGAAAAAGAATGGCGAGAAATTGGATTAATATCTCCCAAGAACACAAGCGGGGCGTGAGATTCATGGTGGGAGCTCAGGGAGGAGGGGCTACAGGTGAGATGCAGAGGTGGACTGGGGGTTATTCTGGAGAGAGTTGTTCAGAATTGGTTCTGGTGTGGGCTGTACAGCTTTTGAAGAGTTGGAAAAGAAAAATAGGATTGACTGAGAAATATTTCCAAAACATTGAAAAATACCTGAATTTAAGGATAACATTTAAGATACAAATGTTCTGGCACGTTCGCAAATTCATTTGCCAGGGCCGTCGTAACAAAGTCTCACAGAGTGAGTGGCTTGAACAACAGAAATTTATTTTCTCACAATTCTAGAGTCTCACAGTCCGAGATCAAAATGTCGGTGGTGTTGGTTTCTTCCCAAGCCCCTCTCCTTGGCTCGAAGACGCCATCATCTTTTTGGAGTTTAACATCTTCCTGTGTGCCAAAATGATTTGAGAACGATTATGTGCTGTCATCTCTTCTTACAGGACCTCATTTTAACCTCTTTACCTCTTTAAAGACCGTGTCTCCAAGTGCACTCACATCTCGAGGGGCTGGGGATTGGGGGCTTTAACATATACATTTTGGGAGTAGGGCAACAAGGTCCAGTCTACTGTGATCGTCAAGGAAAGATTGTGGCTGAACTACCGCAGTGGAGATGGAGGGAGAGCAGGTGCTGTGAGGCAGACTTGGAGGCGTCTGAGGCTGACCTGGGGTGTTCATGGGGCTGGGCAGTGGGGAACAGGAAGGCTCTGTGTGTGTCTGAAGGTCTTGACTTGAGTACTTAGATTGAAGGTCATTTCTTATTCCCCCTGCCCTCTCTCCCTCTCTCCTCTCTTTCCTCTCTCTCTCCTCCTCTCCCTCTCTCTCCATCCCCTGTGCCTTGACTCTCTCAGATGCCATCTTCTGAAGTCAAAGAAATGGATTTCTACCCTAATTTAAAGAATGAGGAAGGTCTTAGGACTGAAAGGCGGTCCGACACTTCCATTTTGGAGATAGTCAAACCGAGGCTCAGAGTGGTGAGTGTCTGTGACTTAGTCATATCCTCTGAATGTGTCTGAATGTCCTCTGCACCCTTCTCACTTCTTTGGAATCACGGGCCTGGAATCACGTTGACAGAACTCTGTAAGCCTCCAGGGTTCATCTGTGGGCCTAAGTCTCCAGCCAAGAGGACATACAGACCCTCGGTACAGGAACGAGGAGCTTCTAAACACTCTGCAGACACTGGTGGGAATCATGCGGACTCACATGACCCCGCCTCTGGTCCACTCCCCAGCTGTCCCCAAGACATTCTTTAAGGTTCAGGGTGGTGATGTTGCCTTGTGGCCTTTGCAGTGGTGAGGTGAGAGAGCTGATGTCAAAGCACTTTGAGAACGGGTTGGTTAGTGGCTGCCACTATCATCACGATGGCTGTACCCCGCCTTAAGACTGTGTCCTCTAGATAACTGTGTGGCCAGAGGCGAGGGATCATTTTCAACTTTAGACCTGATTGATCCTGGCCTCTGAACGGAGGCTGTTGGCAAAGTGGGACCCACTTCCCCCTGCACTGCCACCTCGAGGTGGCCTCCTGGGTGCCTGCGTAGATCAGCTGGGGCTGAGTTTGCTACACATTTAGCTGTCAGAGTACCAGAGGTTCTTCATTCGCCACACCCTCCGCTTTAAGGTTGGTTCTGGGTGGAAGAGTGAAGTGAGGTTCTTATTTCAATTGTTTCTGAGAAGTGCTGTGCCGGGATTCAGGCATGAAGGTTCCGAGTTCTGGGGCTGAACTAGCTCTCTCTGCAACTGAGTAGCCTCTCTTGGCAAAGGGACATAATACTAGTTCCTATCTCATAGATCTGCTGGAACAAAGTGAGTTTATGTCTGTAAAGTGCCCAGGACAAGATCTTGTACCTAATGTCTTCAATAAAAGTTGAGACTTTTTTCCTTTTTACTATTTTTCCCTCCTGTTTGGTTTTGGGAGGATGGTTCCCTTCTGGTCAGTGGACAGGCCCATCTTTGGAAAGTCAGTTGGAATGAGGGACCTGGGTTGTAAGGGATAAATTCCAAGACTGAGGCCACAAAGCAGAGCCCAGAGCCAAACCTCAAGATAAAGAGGTGAGGGGAGACCTTCTGGGTCCCATGGGCCTATCTCAACTTTCCAGGATGAAATATGACAATAACAGTTTGTGACCAAGGTACAATTTACACTAACCTGGAAAGATTCTATATTCAAGGACCCAGTCAAAGGCTCAGGAAGCCGGTCACAGAGGCTCACCCCTGTAAACCCAGAGGCTTGGGAGGCTGAGGCAGGAGGATCACAAATTCAAAGCCAGCCTCAGTAACTTAGTGAGCCCCTAAACAACTCACAAGACCCTGTCTCTAAATAAAATATAAAATATGGGCTGGGGATGTGGCTCAGTGGTTAAGCATCCTGGGTTTAATCCCTGGTACCAAAAAAGAAAAAGAAGGAGAAAGGAAGCCCCTGAAATCCAGGATCCAGATCCTCCAACATTCTCTTACCATGAGGATTAATATTATCAGTCATATCCTGGGACACCCGTGAAAGTTGTTGGGCCATAGGCCACTAAAGAGGCACATTGACGGCCGAAATGGATGTATTTTAATGGATCTGTGGAGACCCACCAGGGATTTAAGGATCCTGGACACCCATTTCTTGACTCATTATAATGACTCTAAAAATTTATATATGAAAATATGCATCTACACAATGATTCTTAAAATATAAATATATATATATAATGAGTCTTCTGTATTCAGAAATCTCAAATAGATATAGAGCCTCACCTGTTGTGGTTTTTGGGGAGAAATCTGATAACTTAGCGTTTTTTGATAGGAGGCAGCAAGACAGAGTTTTCCCACATTTTTCTTTCTTCTTCTCTTCTTCTTTACATGATTTCCTGCATCTTCCCAGGCCATAATAGCACTTTTTAAGCCATCCATCTATCAAAATAAACAAAGAGATGAATATATAAGTACACAAAAAAAGGCAAATAATAGGATACTAAAGACATTGGTAATAGCAACAATGGTGACCGTCGGGGTGAACACTGATCTTGACATCTACTAGCATCTTGGGAAGCTCTGATTCTCTGCATGGAGAAGACACAGTGCTGGTCTTAACATGGCTTGGATGTGAGTCATTATTTCCCATCCTTCAACTAACACTGAATTTTATTCCCCTGCTAATGATGTTTCCTTCTCTGTCATTATTCACAGACTTACTATCTAGTTCCACTTCCTTTCTAAATCTAGGAGCTTGCCAAGGAGGAGCCCTGAGCTTCCAATGATCTGTTTTTTCCTCTCCATTCTTTCTTAATCAACAGCAGTTTGTTGAGCATCTACTACGTGCCAGGCACAGTTCTAGGAGCTTGCTACTGAGGAGATTACAGAGCTGACCTTTAGGCTGACATCCTGGGGAGTGTGTGTAACGCTCTATCTTTCTCTGATTTCTGGTCTAGGACTTAGCCTTAGCTAGATCAATAAAATTCTAAGTGCAGACTCAGCTCGCCCAGCCTTTTGGGAGATCAGCCGAGAAATCATGGTATGTTAGTTTCAACGACAGATTCTCTCCACTTACCCTTTCACCAAATCTTCTCCTAAGACATAATCCCCATTCTCCCTCACTAGGACATTCAGACTGGAAAAAACCATCACATTGACTTGCTTTTCTGTTTCAATATTCCATAAGCCACTATCTTGATTCTTTCTCCAAAATCTAATAATCTCACATGCATAATTCCTGCTCTATTGCAATTTCCCTCATCAGAGTTTAAGGCAGGCTGAAACCAACTCAAACTCAGCCCCAGCCCATCCAGGATAGGCTGGGATTTCCAACAGCAGTGAGCCAAAGGACATCACGGAATTAAAAATCACAGGGAAACCTATGGGGAAACTTTTCCATTAGAAAGTTATTTACCACCCAGCAGTGAAGCCTGCTTTCTTGCTGGAGCGCTTTGACCACATTCAATCTGTAATGCAGACCTTCCTGCTGCAACCCCCAGATGCACATCTTGAGACTATTTGTATAAACCTGTCAATACCCAATATCAACCTAAAATTTTTTTTACCATTTTTTTTTTTTTTTTGCAATGCCAGAGACCAAACTCAGAGCCTCGCCTATGACCGGCAAGTGCTCTACCATGGGACCATATCCCTTCACCACTCATTCTAAGAGAAGAGCAAGAGACTTCCTCTGCTTGCTTGAAAGGAGCATTCAAGCCAGTGACTCAGGAGGCTGAGACAGGCTTATTGCAAGTTCAAGGCCAGCCTGGACAAATTGGCAAGACTCTGTCTAAAAAATAAAATAAAATAAAAATAAGAAGGCCACCCCTGGGCTCAACCAGTTGAGGGGGTCAGGGGAGAGAGGAAAAAGAAAAAGAAAAAACACATACAAAAAAATAAAGGAGCTTGCAAGGCCAAACCGGAATGGAGAAGTGAAATGAAGACATTGGTTATTGCAAGAAATATCATCAACTAAAGTGGGATTAAAGCAACAGACAGGTGGGATGAGACTCTTGACACTTGGAGCAGAGGCAGTAAGGACATTAGGGAGTGTCTGCATATGAAGGGACCTCACACGAGATGCCTACTGTCTGCTGGGTTTCCCAGGCTTCCTGATGAAGTATGGCCCTGGCGCTTCCCTTGTGAGGTATATTATTATTATTATTATTATTATTATTATTATTATTATTATTATTGGTTCTGGAGATTGAACCCAGGGCCCCTGTGTGATGGGCAAACCCTCTTCTACTGACTACACCGCCCATCCCAGGGCCACGTCCATCCTAAGCCCTTCACCCGACGGCAGCCGTCTCGTGGGCTGTCCTTCCTCCCACGCACCCTGGGTTTCCCAGTGATTCTCCCAGGATCCCACTGTTCCTCTCTTTTCCCTTTTCTCCGCGGAGCTGGTTACCAGGGGAAGTCTGAGCCAGGACCACGAGGACAGCTAAGGCCAGGAACAAGAGTTTGATGCTTCCTGAGGGAGTGGAGGAGAGGTCCGGCAGCATGCTGAGCCTGCTGGGGACCAGGGGTGTCACTCAGGGTTTTATTGGCCTAGGTAGGGCTGAGTCACAGACAATAAACCAGAGAAATGCAGTGTTCCACCACCCGGATGGTAGCCTGCAGGCCAGAGCTGAGGTCGGTCACCCGGTGTCCAGGGTCCTGCTCTGGACCTCCTCTGGGAAGGGGAAGGCGCCAGGGGAGGCCGCGGTTTTGTGAGGCCACGGATCCACACTGTCCTGCCCTCTGCCGGGGAGCTCGGCCCCCTCCTAAGCTCTAGCCTCGCTGCTTCTTTCTTTCTGCACGGTGTTTTCCTGAGGCACCAGAGTATTTTCTAGTGCATTCTCCTATCAGGCGGATAACTTCAAGGGCAACTTTCAACAGTGAGGCCCTTGAAGCCTGGGACTGGCTGTCACTCCTGTAGGTCCTGAGCAGGCAACAAGCGAGTGCTGGGACACTGAGGGGTGCACGCGGTGCCACTCACCCCCATAGGTGTCAGGGCTGGCTCCCGGGGTGAAAAAGCATCCCCCACGGTCACACGGTGAACAAGAGGAAAACAGGCCAGCAGAAGCCCCCATTTCCCAACATGCAGCTCAGTTCTTTGTAACTCTGTGTTTTCCTCCTGATGTCCGACCCCAGATTCTTAATGTTGGCCATTTGGGGGCCTTTCATGGACTCCATCCCCAAAGAGTAAGAGGGTGGAGAAGAGGCTACTTCCTGGGTTCCTTTAGGAAAGCTGCTGAGGGCTGCTGGGCTTTCTTTTGGGGGGTCCTTGGTCTTGTCTCCTGGTCTTTTTATGCCTCTTCGTGGGTCAGTATTCTGTTCAACTCTCCTCTCCCTATAAACAGGTAGCAGGGGCTGTCTGATGGGGCTGGGAAAGCTTGTTTTGTCCCTGGGATCTGGGGCAGGACCATGTCAGGGACTGAATTTGTCCTGTCAGCAACTATTCTCAGTGCTATGTGTACAGGGCCCCCGGGACCCTCCTAAGACCCCAGGTAGGCTCCTGAGATTTGCTCAGGGTTGTGCAGGGCCAGGTGAGGGGTGAGGTCCAACCCAGATCTGGTTGGCCTGTCCCCAGAGGTAAACAGAAAGAACATGTGTCCCAGAGGATTCTGGATAATGTCAGAAGGAGGGGCCTCTTTACCCTGAGAAGCAGTCATCAGCTGAGCACCGTCAAGGCCTCTGTCTAGAAGTAGCTGAAAGGCACGTTCTGTAGAGGCCCAGAGAGCGGAACTCGAAGCCCCACTTGGGTGGGCAGGGGGCAGGTTTAAACTCACCGGAAAGACCTCAGATGATGGACACCTCTGGAAAATGGTGGGACTTCCTGGGGGAGGTGGTGGCTGCCAGGGTCCTAGCGCTCTGCAAACTGAGCTACTGACCATTCTCCTTAGCTCCTCCGAGCAGGACTGCTGGATTGAATGAATGTGGGGCTACACACTAAGCACAGTTCTAGGCACCTGCCATTCTAGCTGGGGAGAGTGACAACAAACACCTAAGACCAGGGAGAAACGCTCTAAAGGAAAATACACAGTCAGGGGGTGTGAGAATAGCAGGGCACACCTACATGGGGGTGCTGTTCTGAGCAGGGTAGTCAAGGAAGAATTCTATGAGGAAATGACATTAAGTAGAACCTGAATGTACTGAGGAATTGAGCCGCCTAGATATCTAGAATCTTCCATGCAGAAAGGACAAGAAGCGCAAAGCCCCAAGGCAAGTCAGTGCCAGACATCCTGGAAGAACAAGAAATCGAGGGGGGCTGGAGGGAGTAAGGGAGAGGATGAATCAAAGCTACCGAACCCCCAGGCAGGCAGAGTGCCCGTGTCAGGGATTATGGGGTCTTATCCAAGGCTCTGGAATTTATTCGGAATGTGATGAAGAGTTGAAAGGGATCTTTCAAATCTGAAAGTTCATTTCTGTCTAGGACATGTCACTGTATCTATCTTAAAAGTAAAGCACTTGGGACTAAACCAGTGTTTCCTGAAATGTGTGGCCCAAGTCCCTGGCAGTATGTGTGATTACTTAGGTGGCACAAAGTATATGGTTTTGAATATTTATTTTGATGCTCATTTGAGGAAAAAATCACTAGCTCCTAGTGGGATGTGGTGGTATGCAGCTCAGGAGGCTCAGACAGGAGGATCACAAGTTTGAGGCCAGCCTCACCAACTTGGTGAGAACTTGACTCAAAAAAAAAAAAAAAGCAGGAGAGGCCTGGAAATGTAGCTCAGTGGTAAAGTGCCCCAGGGTTTATCCCAACACCACACTCCAAAACCCTAGCTCTTGATCTAGTGACTTTTTAGTAATGTCATTAGGTTTGGGCTGATCCAGATTTAATGAAATGGTCTGTGTTGATCTCTATTAAAAAAGTAAGTAATATGACAGGCTATAGATGATATGGCAAAAATAAAAGTGTGTAAAGTCACGTACAAATGGCTAAAGTCTGTGCTAGAAAATTGATACAGAGTATTCTGTGGAATAGAAAACTGAAGTTCAGAGAGGTCAATTGACCTTCATGAAGGCACAGAGCCAGTAAGCTCCTTTTAGGCCCCTTTATCGTCACACTCAACTCCTTACCTCTTCACCTCCTGTAACCCCTGGAAACTACTATTTTGTCCTCTGTCTCTACAAGATTGCAATTTGAAGAATGTTATTTAAGTGGAATCTTACAGTATGTAGCCTTTTGAGATTATTGTGTCTATCCTTGAGGTTGAGGATCTTTGCATACACTTAGGTATCAACTATATCCTCTTTGGCTAAATGTCTGTTATTCTCTTCCATCCGGGTTCTAAATGGGTTGTTTTTAATTGTTGAATTTTGAGAGCTCTTTCCTTAAAGTATGAGTTCTTTGATTGATATGTGTTTTGCAAATTATCTCATGTGTTTTGCAAATTATCTCTTTATCTCAGCTTTCCTTTCAATTCTCTTCACAGGATTTTTAATGACAGTTTTACTTATTAAAGTTTTCAATTGTGGTGAAGTACAATTTAGTGTTTGTTCATTTGTTTGTTTTTTAAGAATCATGTTCTTGGTGTTATGTATAAGAACTCTTCACCAAGCTTTAGGCCCAAAATTACATCCATGGTTTATTTCAAATTAATTTTTAAGGTGCAAGGTTTTAGATTGAATTAGATCGAGATTTTTTTTTTTTTTTTTTTTTTTTTTTTGGCCTCTAGGTGTCCAGTTGTTCTGACGCTATTAAAAAAAAAAACAAAAAACAAAAAAAAAATCTTCCTTTTATTGAATTGATTTTGTACTTTGATCAAAATCAATCCGTTGGTTGTATTCGGGAGACCTATTTCTGCCTCCTCTCTTCAATTTTATTGATCTGCGTGTCTGCAAGTTCAGAGACCTCCAAGAACCCCTCACTGGTTTAAGGGTCCCCAAGACTACCCCTGGGCTTATTGGTCAATCCACCAGTAGGACTCACAGAACTCAGAAAGGCCATTATACTTATGGTTATCATTTATAACAGAGAAAAACACAGACATCAGCAGCAGGAAGACACTTGGGGCAGGATGCAGAAAGCAGGGGGCAGAGCCTCCAATGGCCGTCTCTCTCCCAGCCGAGCTGAGCAGGCAAGACCTGTTTCCCACAACCACGTGCCAGTACAGTAGGTATTGCCAGCCGGGGCGCTCACCCAGGCCTCGAGTCCAGGACATGTTTACAGAAATGTGGTTGACCACCACGCATGGCTGACCTTAGGCTCCAGCTCCCCAGGGGTCAGGCTGCTACCAAATGGCCCAGAGCATCCCACCATCAATCACAGGGTTAGCATAGACTACCCAGCGTGTGCCAAGGTTCCCAGGAAAACAAAGGTGCTCTTCTCAGGAAGGAGAGTCTAGGGCTCAAGGGTGACCTCCACAAGCTGAGGCACAAAACCTCTCTCTGGGGGAGGTACTGTTCAGTATTTAACCCTCCTCCAATACCGCATCCTCCTGACTCTCACTCCAAGGTAAGCCTCACTATGGGGAAGAGTGATTCCTCCCACTTCATTTTCAAATTGATTTGAGCTATTCTAGTTCTAGTAATTTTCCATATATCTTTAGGACAAAGTTTTATGTCTACAAAACACGTTGCTGGGATTTTGAAAAGAATTGCATTAATCTTGTATATCAGTCGGAGGAGATACTGACATTTTGACTGTAATGAATCTCCCAATCTATGAACATAAAATGTTCATCTATTTCCTTAGATTATCTTTGATTTCTTTCATTAGTGTTTTGTAGTTTTCATCCCATAAGTTTTATGCATGATTTTTAGGTACACACCTAGGTATTTAATTTTCATTGTAGTGATTATAAATAGTATTTTATCTTTAATTTGAGTCTTCTTACATTCGTTGCTAAGTAAATAGCTTTTATTTCAGTATGTTCATCTTGCATTCTGCAATGTTGCTGAATTCACTTATTCCTAGGAATTTTCTTTTCGATTCCTTAGATTTTTATTGTAGACCATTTTGTCATCTGTAAACAGGGATGGTTTTATTTTTCCTCATCTATATGGCTTTTATGTCCTTTTCTGTCCTACCACACTAGCAAGAAATTCCAGCATTATGTTAAATAAAAGTGGTGACTTTCTTTCCATTTATTTTTCTAAATCTGTTTGTTCATTTGTTTCACATGTATTCATGATTACTTGTTAAAGAATTTTTGGTGATGGTTATTTTTTAAATCCTGTCGAGTAATCATAACATCTTGTCTTTGTATAGATATTTTGATTGTCCTTTCAATTTGAGGTTTTCCTTGTTCTTAGAATTTCTAGTGATTTTTTTTTTTAATTATTGAAATGCAGACCTTTAGGTCTCATGTTATGACAGTCTGGATTTTATTTAACCATGTCTTAGCAAGCCTTCTGTCCAGTGCTTTTTAGAGGAAAGGGCCACTGCATTTTTGATGCCAGGTGGGGTGGACGTATAGATTCTTTACTCAGCCTCTGCCGACAGCTGGGAATGGGGGACGCTCGTGGATCCTGAGCGGCAGAGGTTGGGATTCCACTGGACCTTCACTGCTCC